TTCATTATTGCCTCCATATATACTATATAAGTAAGAGCTACATGGTGACGTTCTATAACGCCTCTAATACATTTCTAAATTGCAAGACAAATTTCCTATATATTTTTCATATGATTAATTTGTATCACAAGCTACCAATACGTACAATATGTAGCTAACTTATTGACTAAGTTTCTAACCTATCAATCAACTACAAATACATATAAAGTTAAATTTGCATCTATACAGCTTTTAAAAAGCTTTATTATAAGTTATTATCAAATTTAACTATATTTATCTTCTATCTAACTCCTTTTATATACATAAATATGTATATTTGTGATACTAACCATCTTCTAATTTCTTTCCAATATAAAATAAAATCTAACTATATAACATTGAAATCATGTGCAACTTTAAAACATATTATTATAAGTAATTCAATCATTTGTTTGTATAGTTGAATAAAGTCTATATTGTGCAAAAAAAGAAAATTAATATATTAGAGGTATGTTAGAAGAGTTGTTCTAGCTTAGAAAATAAATGAAAAAAATAAGAAATATCTATAATTTTTTATGTTACTGTAACATTTGTATTTCAAAGTCAATTTTTTTTATTTTAAAGTAAGTAATCAATAATTGGTGGAATTAGAAGCCATTGGAAAGATTAATTTTTTATTTACTAAATATTGATATTGCAACGTAAAAAACATCATCAATCAATTCAACCATTTAAAGAATGACATTATTGCTTACATCTCAATCTTCAAAGACCTTATTAAGAAACATCTCAAGAAAATGCTAGTGAGACATATGAAAATAATGATAGTCAATAAGTGGAACTAATGACAACCAACAAAGCCCATTAGATAATAAATTTTTTATAAATTTTTTAATTGCAGCAAAATGGTAAGGATACTCAATTTATCTCATTGTTGTGGTGTATGTAAGATAAAATGAATGTCTTTAAAAGTCATCATTCAACATAGAAGAATATAAAGGATTTCATCTAATTTCATCTTAATTTAAATATATATATATATATAGATAATATTCTTAATAAAATTATTTTTAAAAGCACCATACATGCTTGATTTTAGATAAAAGTAATTAATAGAAACTAACAAGGATATTTTTATTTTATTTACTTTAGAATCTACAAATTAAAATACTTAATATTAATTGAAGTCTTAAATATTATAAAATTATTATATTTTAAATATAAATTACATGCAAACATGCATGTATATGTTTATTCAAATTCATATTATATAATGCACACTCTACAAATATGTGTATACATATCTTTAAAATAATATTATACATATAGTTAATGTTTTTGGATGAGAATTTATTGCAAAAAAGCTTACACTAAAGCTAAAACTTAAAACTAACATTAGAAATTATTAGAGAGTATTATAATTAATTGATCAATATTATTACATGTAAATCTTTTGTATTAAATGAAATAAAAATTTACTTTGTACTTAAAATTTATTTATCCAAATCAATAACTAAAAAAATAGTATATTTTTTTCTAAATGAATAATGCCAAATTTTTTTAAATGAATAGAAAACATTTATTTATTTATTTATTGATCTGAAATTATAGAAGAAAAACATAAAATTAAAATACATATATATATATATATATATATATATACCAATTTAAGTAGTATCTAAAATGGAAATAATCATGGGCAATAGATGGATGATTTCTATTAAAATATTACAGCATACCAATCAACAAGGATTTTAAGATCTTGTTCTCTAATCTTTATTGGATACTTGTTTGATGAGTGGTACAACCCCCATCCACATTTGTCTGGTAGCAAACACAAAACTAATCATCCAATTTAACCTAATTTCTGGGCCCCATTGTTGTCCTTTGATGCAAATGAAAGGATGGTTAATTCCAGGGTGTCAGCTTCCATATATTTTGCACTACACCACATTCTTGGTTCCCACTCTAAAATTTTATTTTGCCATCAATTGATGTTATATTGTCATCAACATTTTGTTTCATTACTTTCTTAAATTTTGGTTGTACTAAGAACTGCCCCTTCGACAGTGCAAATTGAAAACCTCAATGTGAATAATTTTTTATTGGTTTCTTGTGTCAACAACCCACAAATCCGATGTCTAATACAAGGAGCATATGGATAAGTTAATGTCCTCGCCTTGTATTTAAAGGGCAAGTGGAATCCAAAATGTATGGACAAAATTTGGTACCAACCAAACCCTAAAAGTCAGTGGGTGTGGACAAACAACATTCTGCTCTGCTCAAAAAATGACAAGGTTCCAAAGGGAGGGAACTCAAACATGACAAAAGAAAAAAGGTAAGAAAAATAGGACAAATTCCTTCAACAAAAGCAGGAGTGGCCAAAGCATGGATTCAAGTCCATGCTTTAGCAATTCCATGATAGTAAACTTCCGTAATTCCAGAAATATTGATTTTTGCTTGTGTGTACACCATCGTACCAAACTTAGCTAAAGAACAGTGAAGCTCATATTTACTCTTGAATAAAAAAATGAAAAATGATTGTGGACTTTTGCAATTATTCGAATACAGGTTGATTTTAATAAGGAAAAAGAGTAAATTCAATCTGGTGGCCATTGATTGTCATTTGGGAGTGAGCCAAATGGTGTAGGGATGCTTTCACTTTATGGTGTGGGAGGGAAAACTAGAATTCCTTTTGAGCATTTAAGTGGTTTGGTCCACAACATAACCTTTTGAATTCTTTAAGGAAAACATTTACTCGGAGGTTTTCATACCCACATCTTTTAAGAAAAACCAGATTTTGTTTCACTACTTTCTGTCTGTTTGACTACCACGTTGATTCAAGTCCATGCTTTAGCAATTGTGCAGTTTCCCTGTAATGTTCCACCTATGGCTTTCTAAATAAGCAAAGATGAAAAAAGCAAAACTTACATATGCACATATGAATGAATGAATGAAATGACCTGTAATAACATATTTTCAATGTTTATAGATAAGTAGCTGAATTCGTCACACCATAGAGAGGTGTGTAAATAATGTTACAAAAAGCAACATAGTCATGCAAAAGGGAAAGAATGAAAAGATTTCAACGGATGTTAAGCTTTGATGGGTGCCACCATTTTTAAGAGAATGATTGAACCAGCATCAAGTCAAGAGGTTTGACTGTTGTCCAAGGGGAACTTGAGTTCCCAATCTGTTCCCATCAAGGTTCTATTCTTTGCACAGGCTTCACTAATTCTTCTATTTTTTCACATTAAAACCTCAGATAAACCCACATCCTCTGGTTGGCAAACTGGCTAAACTTGGTTAGCAAAAACCCATGAACCCCTGAAACCCAATTAACTTAACAAAACACACACTTACACATCAAGCATCTCTTGCCCTCTCTTTGGGCAGCTTTTCAGTAGAATTTCATTAGAAACTCAATTCCAACATCGGGAACAGCATCTTGAAGCTCCCCGAGTTGTCTTTGAGCCTGGAGAACAAGGAGAGAGCAAAAGGTGGATTTGGTTTAAGCTTATTGAAGGATTCAAACCTTGCTAATTGAGATTAGGAGGACATCAAAGGATCCTAAGAATCTTGCTAATTGAGGAAGTCTACACATCTACTCTTTCGAAAAATATATGCATTGAAAGTTTTTTTGTCATTATCCCAATTAGACGATTAGACAAATTTGGACCAGCAAATTGAAGTCTTTGTCAGCTAGACTTGGTTTCCAATTGGCACCATGCAGTTTGTATCATGCTCTTAATAACCAACTTAGTCTTAACAGTTCACTGGAAACACACCATTGACAAGTTATTACAGATTTGATTAGAATGTGTTTCATTTTCTCATTTTTATTTATTTATTTATTAAATTTACAAACAAAGAAAACACACTCTTTAATCATAAATTTAAAAAGTTTGAGAAGTTATACAAAAAGGACTTCAATGGTAGTGAGAAGAGCATGGATAGTCCAATCAGCATGTGTGGCTATTGTTTAGATTGTCAATTCAATTTGAGCTTTTCGAGTGGGTGACAATTCCACGCGTGTCCCATTGCATTCACCACCCATACAACAAGAGTTGATATATATATATATATATATATAGAAGTGTGTGTGTGTGTGTGTGTACATACATATACACACACATGCAAAGACAAAGAAGAAGTAGAAGGAAGAAGGGAAGGGGTACCAATTATGGAAAAGTCCTCCATTATCACACAGCTTCACGAAAGCCTTGCAGAAAGTTCTGGGTGCTTTTGAAAGGGGGGGGACTGATGAAGACTCTCATTGCCAAGTTTTTCCTTTGGCATTGTCCATTGGCACTCAGTATGAAAATCCCCTTCTTCAATGCCCTTGCACTATTGGAGACACAGCCTGTTCTTAATAGGCCCCAATAAGTTGAATGACTCATTGAATGGCATTTCTTCATTTGAATCAGTGATACAATCAATAATAATAATAAAAACAATTCACTCGATAATCATGTGTACATCATCTTGATAAACTTCTACAAATAGAAAACTAATTGTTCACGTACAATAATATTGTTTTCTTGTGAATACCACTGGAATGTTATTCATCAGTAAGTATTAGATGATAGAAATATGTATGATTTTTATTTTATTTTTTTATTTATTTTTAAGAATGTAAGCAACCCAATTTTTCCTATTTGATGATTGATCCTCCAAGAATACCCCTTCTTAACACTCAGCAATAATCTTGCTTCAATAGAGGGTGTTACTTAAAAAGAAAAAGAAAAAAAGTTACCAGGTTTTTTTAAAAAAAAGAAAGAAAAAATATCTCCCAGTAATGCACATATTAATATCTCCTCTTTGATTGTATCACTCTACCAACACACACACGTTTTGCTAATTCATTCTCCTAAACCCTAAAGCCCCAGAGTTCGAATCCCCCTTTCCAAGACCGGGCACGGCTTGTCGCGAAAGTGGAGAGCCGGGGCACGGGATGAGAGAGAGTGAGCGTTATCATCGGCAAAATTTTGCAGCCCGATTCGCTGGCGATTATTTATCGGAGCATTGAACACTCGCATCCAAGGCTGTCGTGATCGAAGCACGGGGGCATGTGTCCCAGTCATAGCAAACCAACCTTTTTGGTATTGTGTTGTTGTTCCTTTGGTTTGTGTTGGTTTTTCTTTTTCTTTTAAATCTGGTTTGGTGCTTCGATCGTTGGAGAGGTTACCCATGTGCATTTCACCCCCGACGCGCGAGGATTACAGGATGAAGACAAGGCACTTTCCGAATCGGACTCGTGGGGGCAGATAGAAAAGTGGAAGAAGGGTCGCTTCTGTGGATCGGGCACGGGGTGGATTTTGTTACCAGCCTCTTGTACTGCGATTTTGTACTGCAAGGCGGGGATTTTGCCCCTTGCAAAGCGCTCACAAAGCGGATTGTGAGTGTCAGCCCCATCGACGGGTGGGATCTTCGTTCGTTGCTGCATGGGCTCGTGGTTTTGTAGTTGACCGCGGAGGTAGTTAATGCTTCCGCAGCAGCGGGTGCTCGTGGATTCATCGAGGTCCTCAGTACAGTGCCACATATTGGCCTCTCCACATACACCCCAAGCCGTATTGTTCTCGTAGCGGTTACCACTGCAGGCCTGGGTGTATGAATGTGTGTGCGTGCGTGCGTGAAATGTGAGTCTAGACAAGGAAAAACACGGGACGTCCTGGGTTGATAGTCTTCTCGCAGATCTCACAGGTGCATAGACAATGCGTGGAAAAGTAAATTCGTGACGCTGCCTGAAACTGGACGCAGGGACTGCAGAATTGGGGAGAGTTTCCGTGTGGTCGGAGTATCAATTGGTTTGTTTTAGCGTTTATAGAAGTGCAGTTCTTTCTAGTCCTGCTTGATCTGTTGAGCTTGTATGCGGCTTGTAGCTGTAGGCCTTTCTTCCTGAGGAGGTTAAGGTGGTGAAGTTCATGCCGATTTCTGTACATTCTGCTTGAGGTTGAGAATTTCGAGACCTGGTGTAGAGTTGGTACAGAGGGATTATCTGTAAGCATGACTAGGGTTCCATTGGGTAGCGTAGGCGAGAAAGAATGTGGGCTCAAGAAAGGGCCGTGGACACCGGATGAGGACCAAAAGCTCTTGGCTTACATTCAGAATCACGGCCATGGAAGCTGGCGCTCTCTGCCTCTTAATGCTGGTACATATTCATTTGCAACCGGATAAGCGAGTAGTGATGGAGCAGAATGCATTGGTTCGTTTCTACATTTTTATCGAAACGGCTTTCTTTCTTTCTTTCTTTCTTTCTTTATTTATTTCTTGTGAAATTCAGGCCTTCAGCGTTGTGGCAAGAGCTGTCGATTGCGGTGGACGAACTACCTTAGGCCGGACATCAAGCGAGGTCGATTCTCACAAGAGGAGGACCAGATGATTGTGCACCTGCATGCAATTCTGGGCAATAGGTGATGCCTCTAACTGTTATAAAACCCTCTAATTCTGATCCTTCTGTAACATTGTTGGTGCGATCGTCTTGGCGGTGTTTTCATGACGCTTTCGACGCGAAGTTCCATGTGGTAGCCTTCTTTTGTAACAATGCGGACCTAGTGTTTTGAACGATGGCTCTGGTTATTGTGTTTTTTTTGCAGATGGTCAGCTATAGCTAGTCATCTTCCTCGCCGCACTGACAACGAGATAAAAAACTACTGGAACACTCACTTGAAGAAGCGTCTGCTGCAAATGGGGATTGACCCTGTGACACACAAATCGACAACCGCAGAGGAGCTCCTGCTTGACAGCATCCTTCCCGCTCTTAGGCCCACGATTTCGTCCAACCTCTCCCATACGTCGCAATGGGAAATTGCGCGTGCTGAGGCTGAGATCAGGCTTTCTCAGCAATCATCTTTGAATTCAGCATCGAACTTAAAACCTTCACTGCAGCAGTGCAACCTGAGCACGAAGACGAATCCTAACCATAGCGCATCAACCAACTTCATGGACACCTGGAAGGCCCAGGTTGCTGAGACTTTGAGACCAAATTTCGGAGCTGTGGAGCTCGACAATTCGCCCGCGAACCCTGTCAACCTCCAAGCATTCCTTCTAGACTGGGAGTCGTCATTACAAGCTCCCCAAGCGCACATGAAACAGTTTTCAGCGTACGACTCTCCCATCAATATCTCTGATTTGAGCACTGGCGGTGCTCCAGAATTAGTCTCCGCTCAGTATAACCCCAAGGGATCTCAATGCACAATGGAAGGATCCTCCAGCATTTTTCCAGTAGCAGCCCAGTCCAGCGAGAGGTTCTTTACATCTCGAAGGGGCACTTTGCCGGCATCCCGGATTGACCTTGAGAGCCGAGAGTCGGCTAGACTGTCGAGCATGTTTTCCTTGTCTCGGGTGAACTCAGTGTCTGACAGCCATTCTCTCTCCGGAGCAGGATCCAGCTTTAACTACTCCGGAGCGTGCACGGATATTGATAACCAGTTTTCTCCGACGAGCACGTTGAATGCCCCTGACCGTGATTCCTCTTACACGAATAGTCCTTGCGGTAGCAGCAACAGCCATTCAGAGTGCTTCGACCTCCTGCCCCAGAACTATCCTTTGCTTCACCCAGACAATATCGTCGAACAATCTGAGAATAACTTGGTTTTACCTCGGGAACAGACTTTCTGGTCCAGGAAGCAAGTGGCGATGGTGGAGGCTTTTCCTCCGGAGCCTTATTTCTTTTCCGAGCTAGAATTGGCCTCGCAGAAGCCGCCAAGCTTCAGCATTGGCTCCACAGCACCAATGTTGCACCAAGTTGGAGTTCCAAACATCCCGCTCCTGCACTTCAATTCTTTGTAACAGAAGCATTTTTAGTTAAATATTTCGAACGAGTAGGCACATTGACGAAAGATCAATGTTGGATAGCAGCGCGCACAAATTTTTATCGGTTCTGCTACCATGACATCCAGATTAGGGGATGAGCACCAATCCTGACGGCAAATTGTGATTGGCAGAGATGACGACGATCATGCTAATTCGACCTTCGCATTTGGAACTCAATGAATGCCCCTTCTCTACTCCATGCTGGATGTGTAGAGAAGGGAGAGTTGAGAGCTGCGATGGTCGGAGCATTCATGAACAGAGCACAAATTTTGTAGATAGTTGAGCATGAGATAGTAGGGTGCTTGTAATTGACAACTTGTTTTTGGCGCCGCTCGTACACCAGCAGCTATTGCATTTGTAATATTTTTGGAGACTTTCAGACTCAATTCAAACCAGTTTGTGCAATCACCTGGGCATGAGTATGATACAATTTCTCAGGTAGCAGCGATGGCATGACTTCTCAAGTTGGACTCTAGGACAGATGTTGCAACTCTTCACATCATTGATGATCATTGGCAGTAACAGTTCAGCTCCTCAGTCATAGAATATTCGCGAGTGGGATTGCCAGTGAGATTGTAGCTCCGTGTCACTCAGACCTTCACGGAACAGCTATTGTCTTCAATAATTACCGGCTGAGAATCATTTCGTCGATTGCCACGGAAACAGCCCTCAAGATCCATTGTTGATTTGCATCGAGGGTGTGGAAGGTAATCGGAGAACTAAACTTTGTTCAACTCTGTAATTCACCATTGGGTGTTTTGTCTCACTGCATACTAATAGTACATGCTTCGAATATTATAACAATCAATGCTGCCCTTTCCTTAATGATGATAACACAGCGATATTCGATGGTTAAATTTGAGAGACTTTCTGTTGAGGACAGCTTCAGAGACAATTATGCCAAAGCGATCAAATGACATACAAACCTCTGTTGATCCGAGTCTATTGCGTACCACTTTGCTGAATCATAGAGATGAGAACGAATGTGAGTAAGGCTTTGAAACCTGGGTTTCGAAGCCATGGACTTGGAAAGTGGGTATGCCACCTGATACTTGGTTTCAGAGGAATAAAAAGAGTTTCGTGTGAATGCCATCACTGCACTTTGACCTGTCGGTGGCCCACATGATGCTCACATGATAAGCGCTAGACAGGACTGCTCTTGGGTATCATATTTGTGTAACCCCTCCTCTTGAGAACCATGATCTTTTTGTTGAGTGGGAATTCTCTTCCCAAGAGAACGACGATGTTTAAAAAATAAATAAATAAATAAGAAAGAAAGAAAAATGAGGATCATTTTGAGTTTCCAGAGTTTACTTTAAAATAAACAATGCTTTGGCGCTCTAAAAATAACACAACACAGTTCTTTGCTCATTTCAGATGTTGCATATTCATTCCTGTCAAATACTGAGAGTTCATGATTTTTTCAGAAAGAAGACATAAAAAGTGTCGGAAGAACTACACTAGAATGACCCTTTTAAACTTAGGAAAATTGAAACTCAAGACTCTTTGTGCTGTAATACCCAAACCGAAGCCTCACAGCCAATCTGCTGAACTCTCGTTTTCACGCATTAAAACAAACCATGTGTTCGTTGTGAAAATCATTTCTTTCGACTCCATCCCCGCTAAAAACCCACTCTCCAATAAATATCGTTCGGAACTGTCATACAGCTGAATGAATATATTTCGTCCACACATACGATATTTTATCGACTCCGCTTAAAACGTTGGGAAGGAATGAGGCTATGATGGTGCTGACAAAATAGAACCTTGGGCGGACTCTGTACTTTTGAAAGGGGTATCCTAGAATCTTCTACTTCCTCTTCGTAGTAAATATGGCACTTCGCCATCTCCTTCGACCGCATGTCATCGTCACGATATTGTGCGAACTGCAGAGCCTGTGTTGATGATGCATGCGTTCGCGAAGACCTCTATTTATACACCCAGTACAATTCCAAACTATTGGTAGGCACCGAACTGTTCAATGTTGACACAAATGACGGGTTCGAGAGGGAAATAGATGTTCCGAGCCGCTTTGGTACGCAGAGAGGCATATTTCACACATCATTGTGATCTGGACGTATCTTCTGACTGCATGCGCTGAAGTGACGAGCGTTGTGGCTGTTTCCATTGTATATTCACGGAAGAGATAAAGCTTCATGTCTTTTGAGCCAAATTTATGGATTCTGTCTCCACGTAGATGCCGCACTGTAGTTGGGTTGCTGCTCAAGTGGTGAGCTCAGCTTATTTTTGGACTCTGATGTACATTCCAGTGGCCCTCGCAAGGAGTTACCACAGTATTTCGGGGACCTTTAGATGACTGTAACGAATGTGTGACCCAGGAGGCAGTAATCGGAAAAGTATGATTTCAACTTATGTTCCAGCTAAACATGGATCACACCGCGTACTATCGGGAAACGAGCTCATTCGTTGTATCAACACAGCGTGCACGGGGACGACACCTGGTTCCAAGCCATTCGTGCCAAACGCTGCAGCTGCGAAAGGATTCATCAAGGACATAATACTTCAGATAACGGAATGGAATCCCACTTCCAAAATAAGTCTGCGACCTTTTCATGATTTTAAGGGGGGAATCATTCATCCCCTTCGTACCGTGCGACGAGGTAACCAGCTATAGACGATTTCTCGAAATCGGAACAAGTCTAGGGGAAAAAGCACTGTTGTAATTAGCAACCACACCGCCCCGCGATAAAGGAGGTCCTTAGGTTGAGGCTGCTGTAGGTTGTCTGGGGCGAACGCAGCTGCTCGCGACCTCCTGTCGAATGATTAATAGAAGACAGTCCATTAATTGTTCTTGCAGATGAGTAATTATAGGGACTCATGTAGCTGGTCCATCATCGCGCGTGGCCAAAGAACCTAGACATGTGGGGTCCTGGCGATCGGTGAGGTGGGAGCTCTAAATCTAGGAGTCGATCCAAGCAAGTCTTTCCGTTCAGGCAGGTCTGGAGATCGGTCCAATGTCAGTCGCCCCTCATGGCATCTTCTGTTCCGCGTCCTGGCAGTAGTAGCAATAGTATTATAGAAAATACTGGCTCCGCTACTGCTGCTTCAACTTGCGCCTGTAGTGCTGCTGCCTCGGAAGGGACGACGACGACGCCGCTCCTGTTGGCCATTTGAGCATTCCGAGAACCAGGTCCCGCGCTTGCGCTTTTGCAGCACAGCAGCAGGCAAATTATGATCCATGCAAACATCATATTCAAATATGCAAGTGCCAACCCATTTCCCATAACGTAAGCATTTTAGCATGTATGCAGCAGTGAGTATTTCAGCATGTATGAAAAAATAAAAAATAGAAAGATTTGAAGTGTTTTCACTCAATTTTGCCCCAAAATAGAATTCATATTAATGTTTCAGTTGAAGATTCTCTTCAACCCAAATCCAACATATAGGCCAACTTAATTCCAACCAATAGATGGTTACAAAATCAAGAGTGCTTAATTTTCTGATGAATTTTTAGAATTGGCATAAAATTCTTGATTTCTTACCCAATGGCATTATAGAGTTGAGGTGATTTGTGAATTAAGTAATGTGAAACCATAAGGTGTTAGAACTGATTAGTAGTATCATGTCAAATTGATCAGAAATACACCACCAGATAGGTTTAAAATGGTTGTAGTCGAGAATAGGTTGGCTATCTTAGTACACTTTACTATTGCAAATATGGCCCCTCTCTCATTTAAATTATAAGATGAGGCCCACATTGCTCAACATACAGAAAATGGTACCATTTCTCACAACCTAGAACACAGAAGAAATGGTAGCCGAAAAATGGAGCATTTTTCCACATTAAAAAGGAAGAGAGATAAAATATATATATATATATATATATATATATATAAATTTTCATTTGAAAGATTTTTGAATAAATTTTAAATACACACATACCATGTTTATATCAATGTGTAAGACATTTTAATTTATTTTGGCACAACTTCAAATACAAGACTTCTTTTGCCCAATGTTTTTAGTTGTTATTCATTTTAATAAGAGGTGGTGATAGTTGTTTCTTTCTTCTTTATGGTGATTTTTTATAAAATATTTAATAAAATAAATAAAGAAAACATGATTAATCCTTATAAACTCTAATTTTTGCAATTAAATTGATTTATAATAAACAAAAAATAAACTATGCTTCTGTAAACCAACCCAAGGTTTAGCAAGCCTTAAATTCTTAGAAAATTTTGAAAAATAAAAAATCTAATATTGTTTAAAACCATAATGTCTTTAAATTTTTTTTTATTTGTCTTCAATAGAATTAGGAATAAAATTACTTGCATTTTTTTGTAAATTTTCTTAGCCAAAAATTTATATTTCATGACAATTTTTAATTTTTAAAATTTAAATATTTTGGATATCCTTCTTTGACCATAAAAAAGAAATAGATGAAAAAAATTTCCAGAAAATTCCATCTAATTTAATTTAATTTAATTTTTAAAAACAAACAGTGATAAAATTAATATAATAATAAAAATTACGATTGAGAGATCAGGTCCCTCCTGGGGTTGCCCGGTCAATAAGTGCGGGGGATAATTTCCACTTAGGGGAGTGGAAATCGCCTGAACAGAATATGTCATTTATGCACCAAGTGACTGTAAACTCTTTTGCTTGTTCGGCTTTCTTGTCTGAACTACAGGAGGTGAGTGTACTTTACAAGTGGGTGCGTCGTGCCATACCGGCGTAAATTGTGTCCCTCCAAGCTCGATGTATAACCAGAGGCTGTGATTGGGGGTTTCGGATACGCCCGCGAGACAGCCTCTGCATTCTCCTGGTAATCCTAGTGTGGCATTCTAACTGCCAGTGGGGAGACCCCCCGAGTTGACAAGCCAAAGGAAAGTTTGCATTTTCGCGGTCTTGTTGGGCTCCCAAATCATCTTCAATGCCTCTTTAAATTCTGGTTCGGTGAGTCCCTAGCGGTCTTGCAGTGTTAGAAGCCGAGCTCGGTGAGGTTTATCCCGCGAGGCCACATAATACCCTCGCTTCGTGACGTAATTAAAGAAATCCGCTTCCTTGAAATTATAAATCTCTCTCCATTTCCAGTCCGTTGGATCGAAGGGGAGATTTCGAACTAGCCCCATGCGAAGAATGGGGCATGAGAATTTTTCCTCTGGATTGAGGATTGTGGACTGTAGATCGCCTCCTGTTTCTGCCACTCTGACCCAATAGAGGGTCCAATCGGTTACATCTACCAACTCGTCAGTGGTCGAGATGAAGGTATCTTCTGCGTGATGGTGGAAGCAGACACCTGCATTTGGGCCTCTAAGTTGAATAATTGGAGCCGCGTCTCCTGTCCCGTTTGTGACCCATTCGAATTCTCGAAAGGCTAGAGATTGGAGGAGGCTCCAATTTCCCGGAATCGCCGCGAGTACCTCGGATCTTTGTTGATCAGT